TAGTGTGTGTGTGTGTGTATGTGTACAGATGTGTCAAAAATATACGTAATAAGTAAACACACACACACACACACACACATACACATGCGCACACACACAAACGCACACACAGTCGCACCAGTTCTAATGACTAGCTGCCGGGATAATGACCTGTACAAAACGATCATTCCACCCCCCCCCCCGTCCCTTGCACTCAGCCGAGAAGAGATCACAGTTGAAGAAACACTGGACATTCCAAGAAATACGTGGAAAAAAATGTGGACTAACGGTGTCACAACGACTTGAAGACACAGACGTCTTTCAGGTAAACGATTCATAGAATAACAAATAAATATTTTTAAATAGATTAATAAATTACAGGTAAATTAGTATATTATACTCGTACAAGAATAAATGAATAAAGGTCTGGAAAAATACAATATAATAGCTATACTTGAATTCAAGTAATTAAATCACCAGTTCCACTCAGTACTCAGTACTGAACTTTCTAAAGGCTCAAACCTAAGACGAAGTTATCAAAAAAACAAGTTAATTAAAAATGAAAAAAAGAATAATATTAATAAGTGAATCATACTAGATATATAAAGAGTAACTGAATTATATTAATATGAACAAATACACAATATGTACCGAGACTTTTACCCCCCCCCCCCTTTCCCTTCACACCCCCACTGTAGTATTGGTATTTTTCTGATGCTCGGATGGAGATATCAAGTTTTACCTCCGATATGGCAGAACGAGGAGAGGAGGGGAGAGAAGCCACATCGCTGTCACTTACTCTTAGTCTTAGGCAAGGAGGAGAAACAGACCTGATGTTGTGAACGTGAAAAGCGAGCGGGGACCCTTTTTGCTAAAAGAGATAGCAGAAGAGGATTACATGTGATGTATTAATCTTACCGCAAATTATGATGTCTTTTTTCCTTAATTTGTTAATGTTTTTCTTTCTTTTTTGTTGTTGTTTGATTGGGGGTTTTTTCATCTTTTTTGCGCCTTACTTATAAGACTGCTAATTTCTCTTCCACAGAGGGAAGGGGCTATTTGTGTGTGCGGGGGGTGGG